GCCTTCTTTTCAGCTCATCTTTAGCACTTTCTACCACAGCCCACATGGAGATGGCCACAATATTGTGTGATTAGCTTACTAAGGTGGCAATAACTAAGTGTCCTAAGCCAGAAGAATGAAACAATAACAATATATCTATTATTCCATAATTCTAGTTGTCCAAAACCAAGATATACTGACAGGTGAGTTCTTTCCAAAGCTATGACAGAGATCTGTTCTAGCCTTGCTTTTTGGCGTATAGTCATCTCCGTGTTCACACAATGTTTTGTATATTGATGGAGGTTGGTCTAATGATGCGAAGTTGCCTTTGTCAGGTGTTTCCTCACAGCAACGAACAGTTACTGACCCATTTACTTTTTAAAAATTTGCTCCTAACTACAGAGAACTGCAAGTCTCACTGCAGAAAGTGCTTGAGGAGAAAGCTCTCTTCTCCGCAGTACCAGGTACCAGGCAAACCCAGCTAGAGTTAGGAAGCAGGAGTGCCAGGGTGTCTCTGCCCTTTCTGCCATCAGCACTATGCACAAAGGGCCTCATTTCAGTCACTTTTCCCATGTCAGAGAGCAAGGTCAGGCAGACTGTTTTCTGCAAGAGCTGAGGATGATGGAGACTAGGAAGAAAGTTTTGCCAATTTCCAAACCTCCCTGAGAATAATTTCTGTGACTCTGAACTGAGGTAATGAAGTTAACCTGTAGGTTCAGTCCAGAAGCACACGGGGTCCATCCCAGCTCCTTCAGGGGTGGTGAGATCCAGGCCCTTAGAGGACTACTGGAGAGGACTATTAATCTAAGAACCACCTTGGTTCCCAATTTTCTCCACTAGACCAATTTCTCTAGGCCATGTCTGTGTGTAGGACACACATCTTGTGTGCTACCAGTTAGACCACACTTTTCCTTTCAAAAACAGGGAATGAAATAAAATTGTGTGGGAATGAGAATGGGGATAAACTGGGAGTTTCCACCTAATATCGGTAAACAATCAATTCATAAACGTTAACACTACAATGTAATTTCTTGCCTCAAAAATGTAGGTGGGAATTCCTGACAGATTCTATCATATATGTTTCCTCAAAGATTGAAACATTCTATCTTGCAAGGAAAGCTCCTCAATAAGGAAGTCTAAACAACTCAAAATAGCTTCAGGAAGTCCCTGAAACTGACCAGATTCACTAGGCCCCTCCCTGCCACTGAAAGCAATAAAAGCTATGAGTCCTCCTCAGATGAACTGAAGTTAAGCTACAAAGACGACTCCCAGACTATACCAGCTGCCTGGAGGAAGCAGAAAGCAACCGAGCTGCCTGGAAGAGGTTTAGACCAACTGAGGAACTACTTGGAAGAGACTCTCCAACCTGCTGAGCTGCCTGCAGGCTGTGCAGTGTGCTCTAGGTTCCCTGGTGAGCTGTCACCCGTGCTGAGGTGGGCTTTGGTGATACAGCCATGTTTCAGTCATTTCTGCTAGATCTGAGTCCTCAACCCTACTCCTGGAACCCCAATAAGCTCACTGGTTCACCACGCTGGACTTTGGTGGTAAACATACTTTGGTCTGTCATGGGCTCCCTATTTGGGTTAAGTAGACATTGTGTTACATCTCTCTCCAGGAAAAGTTCTGTTACAGAACAGGTTCACAGTACCAGGTTTCTGCTGGTCTAGGGGGCTATCATCTGCCGTGGTCATTTCTGCAGCTCTTGTTCTTACCTCCTTTGCTCTATATCCTTCTTGCTTTGTTCAATACCCTGATGCTTTTATAGTGAACTGTTAGGTGAATTGCCAAATTCAGCTTTTCTGTATGAGTTCCAATTAGGTTTCTGTCAGGTACATACAGAATCAAGCCTGAGTTTCTTGTGTTGGGGCTGACCAGCACTGACGACCATGCCCCTGAGAGATCAATACAGCAGAGAAGTGATGACCTGGTCAGACATCCATGGTGTCTGCCTGAGATGAAGAAGACTACCTGAAAAAAAAAAAGGCACCTGTGGCTGCATTCCTGTGACCATACCTAGTGCTGCACTAACACAGCTGTTCTCTCGGACACTCTTGACTGCTTCCATGCTAGGATGACAAGTGCTTGCATGGTTATAGTGGAGCCCAGATGCCGCCACACAAAAACTTATCCATGACTTATTATACAGTGCGGCAGGAGAGACAGCAAGGACCCAAGTTTACCAGCCATACAATGGGCAGCTCCCAACCACCCACAAACCCCAGCTCCAGAGAGCCCAACACCCTCCTTTGGCCTCTGTGTACACCACATGCACCCTCACCCCGAACTACGAGAATCTGAATGAAATGGCTGCTTACCACACGTTAGGTGGTTAAGAAATACAAGCCCACTGTAATGATCACACTTTACCTGGAGAAAGACTGAGCACTGCATTATTGGGTTATGGCTTCTAAACGGGGACACACTGGAGAGCGACATAAAATCCGAGGGTAAATGGCGCTATTAAGTGGGTGTGGGTGTGGTTCAGGATGCACTGGAGCCTGGAGCAAGAGGAGAATATGGCAATGGCTTTGTGCAGCTTGGTTCCGCTGCGGAGCTGCCAGTGTCACTGGCGGTTCCCAGCATCACACAATGTGTGTGGAAACAAAGGCGAGGTTTGCATTACGCTTAAATTATCCCCTTATATTTCATTTGAATTGGTACAAATTTCTGTGGTTTTGTTGTTTTTCATTGTACGTATAAACAACTTAAAGAACTACATATTAGAACACATTACAACTTGCTTCTCTCTCAGGAACTACCAGTATCTGAGGCAGGACTCAGAAGAACTAGTTCTGGGCAAGGAGCTTAACTGAGAACTCAGACTGGAGCTGCTTGGAGAAGGCATGTAACATACACAATTTGACCACTTTGTCACAACTGAGGCCTGTGGTACCAGTCAGACAGCCCCCATCACCATCAAAACTTTTCCCAAGTTTGGGGCAATCTGTAGCCATCAGACAGAGCCATAGCAAGGAGACGTTATGGCATGACTTGGAGTCTACAGAGGGAGGCCACCCTGTCCAGAAGAGATTCTGGAGTCGATAGGAATGTCGTTGCAGGAGGTCACACACAAGCCACCGTGTTCAGGAAAGTTACCCTGGTCTCTGGTCCTTACTGCCAAGTCCAGAGTTCACCTCAGATGTACCAGTGTGTTTGCCGTACAGGAGGAGCTAAACTTGGAAGCACTTATGAATAATGTCCTGCACCAAGAGCTTTCCTACTCACAAAAACGAGCAAGTGCTGTAGAAAGAGGAGCTTTCAAATGCCAGTAAACCGTTTCTGTTTACTTTCTAGAACAATGTGCCAAAGCACTGTGGCCAGACACTGGATTTCTGCTTTACTTGAGGCGTTTCTAATGAAATTTTGTTTGAAAAGTTTAATTTTCCTAACATCAAATAATAAAGATTTTAGCAAGTATATGTTTCTTTGCTTAAAAAGAAAAAAATTATTAAAAAAGGGGACTCTTTTACCTTTCACAAAAAGGGACTTCTCAAGATAGAAGAAAAATGCTTAAGAACTGTTACTGTTCCACAAAGCACTCTGCTCCACACAGCGTGAGAAGCGCCACTCTGTGAACCTCTGCACCGAGTGAACATTGGACATGCAGGCTTCCCCAGAGTCCTGTACGCCACAGGGATTGTAGCCACGTAGAGTGAGCTAGAGCCTGCGGTCGGTGGTCCCAGGTTTAGGTGCCACTGTCACTAGTTCTGTGACCCTATGTTGCCATTTAACACAAGCTATTTATTAAACCTCAACAGAAGGGTGTTAGTATCCTATTAAAAGAGCCAAAACAAAACATGTTCTGTACACTGTATTTGAAAAACTAAACCATTAATACCATTTAAACATTTTTAAATCTATTATGAAAAAGATCTTAAAATAAACATTTCTCTCAAAGACAAAGACTATCCGAAGTTTCTATAATCACAGCAAATTCACTGCCGAATTGTGCAGTGGATGAAATGCCAGCACAGGCTGCATTCCAGAGCAGACTGTCAAGCTCACTAAACAGCTCCTTACCCATTAGGCTGCAGGTAAAGGGCCTGCCTTTTGGGTCTGGACCTGAGGCAGATCCCACACCACCCACCAGTCTGCTCTTTCTGATCTGACAATGCTGGGACCACATGCTCTCCCTGACTGAGGTGAAGACAGGGCTGCCTGGGCCACAGAGACTGGCAGGACTTGGAGCCTTTTCTGTGACAGGGTGTAACTTTCATTATGTGGATTGTGATCTTCTCTACCTAAAACTCTGCAGAGTCAAGCAGGGATACACAGCAGGACCCACTGAGAGACCAAAAGATTAAAAATTTGCAGCTATTATTAATTAAGGCCTGAGCTAGGTGGGTGGAGAAGTCCAGTAATGACCTGAGGGGAAGGACCACCTTACTGCATTCTTTCCCCACTCACTAGAGATACAGTTGCTAGGAAACTGGCCCATCCCCCTAGGGAGGGACACCAGGTCACTATGGTCTGGGGACCTTCCTATAGCCAAACAGGTCAAAATGTAGCATTTTGACCAATAGATGCTTGCCAGGCAGGAATCGTCCCTGCCTTGGGCATGCTGGGATGGACCAGAATCTTTAAATCACCCAACTAACCTGAGCACGGGGGGGGGGGGGGGGGGGGGGGCGGCCCCCCCCCCCTTGGGGGGGGGGGGGGTGGGCCCAAGCTGCAGCTTGTAATTTACAATAAAAAGAACCTCATGTATTTACAGCGGAGTCTGTTTATTCCTGGTCTTTTGGGGTTCGTGAACTGGGCAGAACACCACCATGCCAGAAGGCAGAGCTTTAGAACTAAGGCCAGGGCCTCTCACTGTCCCTTCTAATGAGGGTGTGCGCTGCCTAATTAAATCCACCAATGTTTACAACTTCCCGGCAGATCTTGTGCCTGCTGCTTGTTAAATGGTAGGCTTGATACAGAGATTCTGAAGCTGCTGCCACCAGAATGGCAGGTATTTTCTGAGACCTTTGAGATGCATTATTCCTAAGGGTTCACAGAAATAAAACCAACTAGTCAACTGGTAGTTTTAGAGCAAATCATTTAATGAATAGTCCATTCCATTCTAATTTACATTCAGCCCTCCAGGAGGAAACATCAACAAACACTCAATTTACAAAAAGAAAAAAAAAAAGACTGAAATCACCTATTTCATGATCCTCACCTATATGCTCACGCCTTTGCTCTTATCATTTCTCCTCTGTGGGAAGAAGACCTTATCTGCTCTACATATCTGCGTCTGTGAAAACAAACTCTGCGAAGCAGTAAGTGCACTCCACAGCACATCCCACAGGAAGCCCTGGTGGGCTCACTTGAAAGCCGAGCACTGTGGTAAATGGGTGGGCGAGGAGACCTGGAACAGCCCAAACATGTGACTAACCTAACAGGTCATACAGCTGGCATTCAGCTCAGGGATTCTCAACCATGGGCAGTGTGTCCATCCCCCATCTCTGTCCTCTGGGACTGACAGGGCAAACCCAGCAAGCACAAACACTGGGCAGTATACTGACTGAAGTTCCAAGAACATGTCCTCCACAGGTATATACACTTGGCAGATTTTTTACAGCAGGACAACCACAGGAGGCCTGTGCGAACTCACAGTGCTCCAAGCCCCCACACTTTGGAAGCCTCGGCTGGGGTCCCAAGGCCTTTCACACGCCCTACCATAAGGGGGGGGGGAATTAAAACTTGATTTTAGGCGCTGTCCACATCATGCACTACAGAATACTACAAGCCTTTAGGCAATCCTGCTTAGCTAGGCTAGGAACCACAGAATCATTCCCAAACAACATTCTGTATTTCAGTAAACAACAAGGCAAACAACTTTGGGTAGCTACTTCTGGGAACCTAAGTAATTTAATATATTGCTTCTGTAAGAAAATACTCCTTTCTTAAATCTTAAGTCTTCTTTTCTTCTGTCACTGGTCTTTCTATTGAGTTTCTAGTCACTGGAAATAAGTTATTTAAGAGTAGGAAACTATCTTAGGTTTTTATTGCCATTTTTAGGCTTTGAAAATTCAAAATGAGCATGTTCAGTATGTAAAAACCAACTTGAGGTACAAAGTTTCAGATTTCCATATTGATAAATAGGAAAGCATGTAAGATTACCAGGAGGCTTTTGATCGAAAAGATACTGGCATGACTGAGTCATGAAGACCAGCATGACTGTGTTGGTTGCACATTGCAAATGTCTGCAAAAGAAGAGACACAAAATCCCAGGAGCTTTCCTGTGGACGCATGCTTTCCAACACAGCAGCACCTGACTGTCTCAGCAGGTGATTAGGGATCATTTTAGAACCGGAATGGGTAGCAAAACAAGGGCTGATGCACAGCTTCTGGCAGATCTGTGCACATTCCTAAAGGGACCTGGCTTTCTTCCATGGCTCCCTTCACACTTCAGAGTCTCAGGGATGCCTTTGCAGTATGAAAATTCAGCCCACACTGCGATGCAACCACAGCAAAACAGCAGGTGCTCCTTTCCAGAAAACCCTCCTCATGCAGAGCAGCACAGTTTTCATGAAAACCAGGAATGTTTGTATCTGGCAAAGTCTGTCAGAGACAGCCCCTGTGGGAACGTGGAAAGAAATCATCAGTGACTACTTTCAGAACTCTGATTGCCTTTCTTCAACAGCAAGTAATGATACGCCAGCTGCGTTTCCTCCTTTGGACCACAGCAGTATCTCTGAAATGTCCAAGTTTAAAGAGCAAGGGCGTGCCCCTGCACTGGCTCAGGGCAGCAACACACTCAAGAGCTAGCTCCTGGGACTGCGAGCATGGCAAGGGACATTTACTCAGCAGCAATGCCTCCTCAGGTGGTGCTATCGTACCTGCCCCTGATAAATGGCGGCTGCAGCATAACCCCACAGTCACACAGTAAATGGACAATACAAGTTTTCTCTTTTGGTAGCATGATGAATTTAATGCAAGAGCCACAATAGGGGCAAGGAAAGAGAAAGGCAGACGGGACTAACCTGCATGATCGAGCAAGGACTTGAGTAGGCGTCTATGGGCAGACAAGTAGGGTGAGGCACTTAAAAGCTTTTGGGTGAAAATCCATCCAGGAGAAGCCTGGGCCTAGGTCTACATTTATTATTGTTGTCATTACTATTAATAGTAACATAGTTCCCATGAAGAAACATGCAGCAGAAACAACAGACACAAAAGAGCTGAAGATTGTTCTGAAAATGAACGACACGGGCGTGTCGAGTGTTACATCGCAATTATAAAAGTCAATGTTTTACACTGTCTCATTCTTTACTAGTAGTACCTAGTTGAAAATGTTTTAATTACAAAAGTATTGGCAATGATATAAAGCCCTAGCTGGTACAGATATTCCTGCACTGGCACCCATTTGGTGAGGAAAATATCACCATCTGGCTCTCTTAAATATCCGTTATCATCCAAATATCTTAAACCAATGCTCTTATATTGTTATTCAAAGATACTTTTGTCTCTCCCCCATTCCTCCATAATCAATATTCCGCTTAGAAATTATAGCATTCACATATATAAAATAAAATATAATGCTTTAAAAATCTCAAAAATGTAATGTTAGTAGATCTAATTATCTGAACTCAGCTTTCACGAAGTAGCTTTGAATTCTTATTTCCCAGATGGCTTAAAAATAACATCGTAACTGTCACGTGGCAGTGGTCCTAATACATCTGTAAACACAGTGCCACTGGAACCTTTTTATGGCATGAAGACTATACTCAAGCATTGTGTGAAATCTTTAAACTTTAAAGCCTCTTAACATAATCACGTATATATGTACAGACATAAATTTCACTTTTGTAAAACATATGAAAGAGGTAATCCCAAAATCACACTAAACATAATAAATATAGAACTTGCTTTGTTAAAAATCTACAGTATACATTCAAGTAAAGGCTAAACTTCCAATGCCAACCATATTTGGGACAAAAATTTAAAGTTTACAATAATCAGTCCCCTAAAAGTGCTATTTTCAGTACCTGGAAGAGGAGAGCATCCTAGCGCTTCTGTTTCCATCCAAACGCCACACATCCCTCTAGTCACAGAGCCAGAGGCTTCTGTTACTGACACACACCAAAGCTTTTGCATCCTTTTAAATAGTCAGCGTTTCAGCTCTTTGGGGGAAGACAGGGAGTCCAGACAAACAACTCAGACCATCTTAGGTTAGATGACTGACTTTATGACACACCCTGTTTTAACTCAGTGTGAACTCTGACACACACTTCAGTGAAAACACCACGGCCCGTGCACCTAAGGTAAGTCATCTCTCTCCACGTGAGAGTTTGTATAGGTTGAGGAGCATCCACTGTAGCAACCTTCCCGGGAGCCGGGCCTGGACACCGCACTCCACTTCTGATTTGTACACTCGCTTCCAGCTTCATTTGGTTTAGTTTCTCCAGGAGTTATAGTCAGTACACTGATTGAACTGTTGGGAAAAAATTAGGTAAACCTTAGTAACTAATTACCTGCTCTTTGCTTATCGTTTAGAGATGTTCCTGAATGCCTCAGTCTGACTTCCCCATGTCTGTACTAACAGTATGTGTTAGGAAACCACGGGGGAAGGCAGGGTGCACGAGAACCGCTCCACGCGTGACCTCCACCTTCCCACGTTCGTCAGCACTGAGCAGCAAGCCTTCCCGCTGCAGCTCCAGGTCCACTCCCATATCCCCTAAGTGAGCATACGGGCTGTGTGTTCCCACTGTGGCCCAGCTCCAAGGAAGCATCTCTCGCCTCAGCTTCAACAGTGACTTCTGACTGGCTCTTCTAGCGTTCAGTACTGACTCGTCACCTGCTCCCAGACAAATGTGGAGTTCTTTTTTTACAGCTCATGTTTTTCTTTTCCCTCCTCTTGTCTAATGTTCTCTGATATTTAGACCCAAAAAGACTAAATTACCTTACATAAATATGTATGTATAAATGAGTTTTCTAAGAATAAGCTGCTTTACTACTTTCATCTTAGGCAGGGATCTTCTTTATCAACCATGAGGAACTGTTTTTTCTTTGCTCTTTGCCCTTCAATACTGGGGAGATGGGCATACCAAAGAAACAAAGTAGGTACTCAGAAAAACTATCAAAACGGCATTCTTCAGTATGATTAAAGTACTTAGATTTTTCACTGATTCCTGACATAATTACCCTGGTGTCTCTTCTAAGGCAGGGTCTTGCTCTATAGCCCTGACTGACTTGGAACTCACCACATACCAAGCTGAGCACCGCGATAGAAGCTGCGCATGCACCACCATGGCTGGCCCCAAGTCTATACTTTAAATGTAAAGTAGAGACACACAGGAGTAGAGACCAGATCCCTTGTTCTCCATTACAGTTCTATTATCTAGCACACAGCCTCACACACTGGCGTTAATCCTTTTTAGAAGTATGTGAAAAGATCACTTTAAAAAAAAATACCTGTGTTCAGACACACAGGCGTGCGTCTGGCAAAAGTCTGAAGTAGAAGGTGAAGCAGGAAGAGATTTAGTCAGTTTTGATGTGCAAGCTGGCACCCCATTAGCCACGCCGTGTGGCTTCTTTTGCCGTGGCCGTGAGCGCTCTGGTAGATTGTCTGGATCAGAACCTGGTTTTTATAAGTCAGAGAAAGAGTGGGCACAAGGTAAGTCATCAAACACAAGGAAGACAGTCAACCAGGATAAAATCATTTGCAATTTGGAGTGGGACTTGAGAAATAACAATTTAACCACCATCTCTATTGCATATTCTGCAAATAGAAGGAGCTAGCTTGAAACAGGTCCACTTCTAAGCTCACAAGTTTTCAAAAGCATGGCATTATGATACACTCACAAGAATATGTTTCATGCATGGCTCTCCTATGAGCTTGACTGTGACTTCAGTGCCATTAAGTGGATTTTGGGGGCCTGGGATACAGCTCCTAGGTAGAGTGGTAGCCTACTATGGGTTGAGTTCCTGGGTCTGATTACCAGCACCTCAACACAGGCAGGGAGACAAGATTAAAAGCAGAAAAAAACACAAACACATAGACTGTGTCTTCAACACCGCAGGTAGAGAGATCATCCTGGGCACAGAGGCTGCTCATTCACCTCTGTGCCTGTGAACATTCACACTTACTTCCTGAGAAGGCACTGAAAAGTTTCACATTTTCTGAGTTCTGGTGGTCAAAGGTCGTCATGTTTAGAAACTGCTGCTTTAACCAGCTGGCTCGCTCTTCCTCGAATGCCTTTCTCTAGGATGAAAAGCAAATGCAATTACTCAACTGTCATTTCCAACTTCTCCAGCTGTTTCCTCTCTGGCCACCTGTATTTTTCTTATATGAAATACTTCATTAGAAACTAAAAAACTCAAGAAAATTATGTTTAAAAAATAAAAATTGGAAAAAAAATAAAAAAATAAAAATTGGGGGCTGAAAAGATGGTGCAATGGTTAAGAGCACTTGCTGCTCTTACAGAGGACCTGGGTTCAATTCCCAGCACATACATGACGGTTCACAACAGTCTGTAATGCCAGTTCCAAGGGATGCAATACCCTCTTCTGGCCCTGAGGGTACTAGACACGCATGCAGTGCACAGACATACATGTGGTGCAGAGACATGCATTTAGGGAAAACATACACATACATAAAATGATACTTTTAAAATAATTTGAATACTAGAAAAGCATAGATTTACTTAGGCCAACAATTACTGGGTTTCACATGGACAGCTTATTAGCAGAACTTTTGAAGACAAAGAACACACAACCATAACTGACATCAGAAAATACCCTCGTTCCTAAATCAGTCACTTGGAAATAAACTTTTGACTACATCGGGCATTTCCTTGTTCACTGCCATCTGCCAGTGGTCATCGCCACTGAGGCACAAAAGGCAACACAAATCCTCAAGATTCTTGTGATCAAGTGAGGGCTTTCTCACGCCAGGGCTCTCCTCTCCAAGCACACAGGTGCTCCGGCAGGCATAGGTAGCACAGGGTGCATGAAAAAGTTTGCTGCCTGAGGAAGATGACTACTGAGTCAGTGCTGGCACCTTAACATACCCAACACCGAGTCTTCCACTCACAAAGGTGTGTATGAAGCCAGGTATCGCCAGACAGCTAGGAAAACCAATGGCAGAAGAGGAAGAAAGGCCCGGATATAAGCTGACCACAGACAATGATGTTTTAAGAGTTCTGAAAATGTCACACATCAGACTCATAAATTCATGCAAAACAAGAATAGTGTATAAAGAAAAGGGAAACTATGTGCATTAGAAAAAAATAAAACAACAAAAAACAAATTCTAAAACAGGATGCCAGTGACTGAAGTTAATAATAAAACTGATCCTAAGGACAGCTTGGAAATCTGAAGAATACAAGAGAATGCCCAGACCTTAGACCCCAGCGTCAGCACTGACAAGGCCTGAGAGCCAGGCACGTCTAACAACAACGGGGAACCAAGCAGAAGAAAACGCCTCTAAGTGAAGATATTACTCTTCCAAATGAAAAAAGTAAGCTATATCCTGAAAACATCAGAAACTATGAGAATCCCATCAACTTCCACATAATCCACCAAATGATCTACAGAGTGACCTAGGCTATATATGGCCTCAACAAAAACTAAAATGAGTAATTCTTCAGTTTCTGAGGTGAAAGCTAAAAGTTGAAGTTAAACACGCAGCGAAGCAGTCTGATATGGTTTTAGATACTGCAGAGTTCAGAACGGTTAGCGCTATGCAGTGCTTCTGTTTACAAGGGGACTGGAGGCAGTATGCAGACTTTCCAAGCAAAGCTGTAAACCACACAGAGCAGGGTCTGACTCAGCAAAAGACCATGGAAATACTGGCGTGATACAGCTTTCCTGGCTGGACAAGTCAGGGCTGAGACTGCGGTTAGATGGCAGAAGGTACTTTGAATATATGAAGCTCTGGGTTTAAAGCCCTGTCATTTGTGTTCAAATGCATTATTTGTTTATAGAGTAATATCTATATAATCAATATTATCAACTTTATTTTCTGGCTTTTAATTTCTAGGACTCAACTTAAGATAAACTACTGTATTTATACTTATTTTATACTACGGGGCAAAATATAAAAGTAGTAGCACTGGACAACGAAAAAAAAATCTCATAAAACTGCAAAGTGAAGGAGCAAGCAAGAGATGTCGGAAAAAGCTGGACAAGGATTTCTGCTTGACATGGGGGATCTTGCCTTTAATCACCACATGCAGGAGGCAGATCTCTGTGAGTTCAGGGCCAATTCTATAATGGCAAGTTCCCGACCAGCAAAGGCTACACAGAGAGATTCTGTCCTACCAAAAATATCAAAATAAAACAAAATGTCTACTGGTAATTTTTTTCTGAGAATTTTAACGTCAATCTACAGCATTTTACCTTTTTAAAGATTTACTTTTATTCTGTATGTATGATTGCCCCCAAGTGTGTATGTGTACCACCTGTGCGTCTGGTGCCCATGAAGGGCAGGAATTTTAGATCCCCTGAAATGGAGTTACATATGGTTGAGTGCTGGGAACCCAGCCCAGATCCTCTGTGAAAACAGCAATGACTCTTAACCACTGAACCTCTTTCTCCAGCAATGAAATGGGATTAAAAGGGTGTGTCACCACACCTAGCATCCAATAGTTTTTTTTTTTTTTTTTTTTTTTTTAAAGCAGTGTTTATGTCTAAGGGATAAAATTGGAGATGAGAAGGACACTGTCTCATTCCATAATGTATTGTATAGGTTGAGTTTTAAAACCATGTTGGGACACCTTGTCTTTCATTTTTGAAAGCGCACTATGGTGACAATGTATTGCTAACAGAATCCAACCTGTGGACATGAACGTATATTTGAAGTCCATGCTGCTAGCTTGGAATGTATACATTCCTCTGAGAGGGCTGGGAAAAAAAATCTTTTACTGTGCTGTCTTTTCTATTAAACAAGTATGCTCTTGGTATCGTCACATATATTGACAGTGGATCAATGATAGATGCACAAAAGGAATTGAATATCTAACAGAAGGACATCCATCTGCTCAATCTTCCTTCTAGTTATTCGTAATGTAACAGGCACCAGACTTAACACAACTGACTCCATGATGGAAGTACCATTCAGGCCATAAAACCCAGCACATAGGCAGCGCCACCAGCCAAAATGAAAACAAAGACCTAATCCATCAGAACCCATAGTTCTGGAGAAGTTTCTAAATGTACTAACCTTGTTTTTTGACTTCTGGCTAACTGATCTTGTTAACTGAAGTATGCCAGCCCAGAATATGAATTTTATGCTTAAAAGCTCATCCAGAGACAGACTCAGCAGCACGGCAGCGCTCCCCTCCACCCCCGC